CAAAACCCTTCAGACATTCTGAGCCCATACCTAGAGTTTTCCATTAAGGGACATGTTAGTAAGATCATGGGCATAGTTGTCTGGATTACAGTATTAAAAAACATTCTCATTTTTAAAATAAATGGTTCTGGATTAAATCACTGAATTTCTTTTCAGTCATCCTGTATTGCTGCACCACCTTAGCTTTTTCTCCTCCTGTCTATGCTTTCAATATCCAAATCAGTTCAGGCAGGCTCAGAATTTACAAATATCTTTTGCTGTTGTCTGTGTCAGCTTTTTACCATGACACATTCTTTTTTCTTGCTTTTTCCTCAGTTTTCTATCCTCAAACAGGGTTATGTGTTTTTTTTCTAATGCTTAGAAAACCAAGCATTGTATCTTTGCTTTTTTTGACTTTCTTCCTGTGAATTACAGTTACCAAGACATGCATTCTCTTCTCTCTCTCCAGCAAAATTTATGGCTTCAAGTCCCTTCTAAGTAACTGTTAGAGTAATTAAATATTGCAGTCAACTGATGTGGAATTCTGTGGTCTCCTCAGCAGCCTATCTCAATGTTTTGAGCACAGGTTGCCCATAAAATAGTGTCCTCAAGGCCCTCATTTGGGTTTTCTGGTTTTTTTTCTCTACTTCTACCTTCACATATCTAAAGGCACAGGAACCCTAGGTTCTAGCTATTTTCATGAGCAGAGCTTATTCATAACCTATCACCACAGCCATGTTTGTTAAAAATCTATGCTTATACTTTAGATTTGAAGGAAATAGCAATGAAAGATCATTGATTATTGCATCCTACATGTGAGACTTCTGGAACAATACAGTGCTAAGCACTGACCTTTTTATAAAAATCCCAGGAAAACAGTCAGAAGGCTTCAGCATCTGTTGAAACATTATAAGGGACAAGCAGCTGACAGATATTCACCACAGAAGAAAACAGCAGTAGCCTAATACCTTGAAAGATGGCATTGGGTAGAGGAATCAGCAAGGAGCATGATGTCAGTTTTCTGAAGCTTAACATATCTGGTCTGAACTGAAGCCAAATTTTGAAGCCACTGATAGAGCTAAGTTATGTTCCTTGTTGTGCTGTCTTTCATGTTTAACTGTTGAAATGGCTGGCTAGTTTACATGTAAGAGGAATCTACACAACAATACCATTTTTTTTGCTATTGGTTAGTGAGATAACTCCAGAGAAGTTTTAATTATTGTTGATAGCAGAATAGCACGAAGCCTTATGTTGAGTCAGAGACTAGTTTACTATAGCAGAATAGGTAAGGAAGAAGTGTTACCTGCATAAGGGTTCTCCATCTTCCAAATCAATCCCCCTTCTTCTTCCACCTTTTTTAAAGAAAGTTGTACTTAATTACTAGTTTTATCAAGAAAGACTTGATAACATAATCAAGCATACAGGGATATAACTCCAGCTATAGACACTCCAACAGACTTAATATACCCAGTTACAGATTAATCTAATTCAAAACATATGGGCTGGGAGCTACAAGAGGATGAATGGCTAAAGCATACCATGTTATAAAATGTAAATTACAATTCCATAAGGAAGGCTAAAACTACAATTAGCATAAAAGACAGTACAAACACAACAAAAGAGCATGGAGTAGGTTTCTAATTAATAGGAGAAAGAGCAGTATAATCACAGACTAAGAACTGTCTGTCTGTGTTTCAGCCTCTGGTTTGCACTGGAGTCTTGTTAATTAAATATTCATAATCTACCCTTTTTTGCCAATTAAATAATAATCATGTCTGTCCTAAGTAAAAAGGTCATTTATCTAAGGAACCTTGCTCCAGATTCACTCCTTTCATCTCATGTCTTTTATTTGAAACAGCTCTTCTTTCCATGACAGCAAGTATTAAAAGCCAAAATTGACTGAAATTGCAACTTGTCGAGCTATTCAAGAGTATACCAGACATTATATTATTATATGGAAGGTGTTTCATGACTAAAGAAGCTCAGGGAAATGTTTTTTTGTAGTTAACATAGCTTTACGCTATTTTTTTAAACAAAACAAATGCATTTGCCATAATTCATATTCTTGCTGCCTAATATGACATCAATGTAGAACACTTTAAATTATATGAAGTTTTTACTGTTTCAGCTGTGTTTTCAGATCTGACACACATTTAAACTTTACAACAAACTAATCCTGCTTCCCAAAGGAAACAAAAATCACACCTTTTTCTTTCCTTAGAGATGTTCTATAGCATTTCTATAATCTTTGAGTATTTGATGGCAAAGTCATAAAGAATTACCTTGTAGAAATCTAATTTGAACTTGTCTGCTCAGTTTAATGACAAAATTTAGAGTTTGGATTTTATCATATCGACAAATTGGCCAGATGCAGAAGCCCAGTGGAAAAATATTTATTTGGGGTGCATAAATACCCCATATTTCAAGTTCGAAACAGGCACAACACAGAAATATTCTTGCTTATGTTCCCTAATGGACTTTGTGTAGATGGTATTTTGAGAAACCTTGCTGTGAGATGGCAGGAAGATGGTCTTTGTGACATGGTACAGGGCTCTTCAAATACAGGACAGTGAGGTACAGTGAAGAGTTAAATACTTTTCTAAAAACCCTTTAGATCCTTGTCCTGCTTCATTAATTCTTGAAGTTGTTCTCCATTTGACTGTAACAGTATTAAAAACTGATAGTAAATATCTGTAAACATCTGTAAATATCATAGAATCACAGAATGCTTTCGGTTGGAAGGGACCTTAAAGATCATCTAGTTCCAACCCCCCTGCCATGGGCAGGGACACCTTCCACTAGACCAGGTTGCTCAAAGCCCCATCCGTCAAGTAGGGATTTTATTTTTTCCAGTATCAGTGATCTCTTCCCTTCCCTTCCCTTCCCTTCCCTTCCCTTCCCTCCCTTTCCGTTTTTCCAGCTCCCTCAGACAGATATTTGAAGATAGTCATTATGAGCAGGTCCTAATACATCTTTTCCTGAAGCAGTTCAGATGTGAAACAGCTTGTGTCTGGATGCTATACAGTCCTAACAGGACTGACTGGGCTTGATTTAGTGCCCTAGCCCAGAGCGATACCAACAGAGAGGGATTTTTGATAGCACACAGAGCAAGCTCAGGACTGCTTGCAGCCAGCCTTGCAAAGACACTCCTTAGCTTGCCAGTGGGACGTCAGCAAGATGCTGCTGATGCTGTTGTCAGGAAGATGTGGGTTCTTCGTCTGTAGCAGGAATCAGTGATGGAAACAGAACTTGATGCCCATAGAAATACTGGTTCTTTATTAATTATTTAAAACTACCTTAAAAATGGAATAAGCCACCTCCAGACTCAGAAATATTCCTTTCTAAAGCAAGTAAATGGCATTCCTGAAAGAGGCAACTTGCCAGAAACTTACTGGCCATTACCACCAATCCCACTGAGGGAAGTAGAGGTGCTGTGTTTAAAAGCCTCAGGCCTTTCCTCATTATCTGATTGTTTCCTGAGCAGGAATAATTTCTCTGTCATCACTGGCAAATTAAACTAAAAAAAAAAATAAAAAAAAAAAATCCAAGCAAGCTACTCCCTGAAATTTACTTCCTCTGTATCAACCAACAGCCTGTTTCCTTGCATGTCAGACCAGTGCCCATGAGCAACCTGATCTCACAGAGTAGAGATTTTTAAGTAACTTGAGAAAAAGGGATGGGCAACATATCATTTCGTTTGCAAATGTATGACATGTGGAAGTGGAAATGCCAAAGCATTTTAACATTAACTCTTGATTCTAACTGGTTTTCGTGACTCATTCAGTTGGTGAGTGAGCAACGAGATTGAGCCAGAAAAGGAAAATATGAAAAGCTTATTTAAATTAACATACTTTTACTCAGGAAACTGTTTCCTGTTCTGATTGCAGGTAGGGGTGAGCTAACTTTGTATTGCCATAAATAAGCTTAAAAGCAAAGAAACTAAAAGTGTGGATGAAGCAGGATAAGTATCATAACACTTCTGCCTGGTAATACATGCCTAGCATTTCTGCCAGGCAGTGCCACGTCTACGTGCCATGTGACATACTCTGTTATGCACCATACTAAGGTTAAACAACCCTGTCTTCTGTCAGTAAAGCAGCTTTCAGTACCCCAGTGAATTTTTCAACAGACAGACTCCTAAATGCTGTTCTACTAAGCACTTACTGGTTTTCTTTACAGTGCTGGAAAGGCACATGGGGCAGGGTTTTACTTAACTAGCCAAAAGGTAAAAGTTGCTGCTGCAGATCTTTTAGGTGACAGAGCAGCAATGAGAGAGAGTTCAATGAAGAATGAGCTTCCTCAAGCTTCCCTTCAACAAATTCTGAGTGACGCTCAGCTGAGATAGATGTGATAAACCCAGCCATGCTAAACATGGGTTTAATTTAATATTACTCTGGTGGGTTGACCTTGGCTGGCTGCCAGACCCCCACCCAGCTGCTCTCTCACTCCCCTTCCTCAACAGCCCACAGGAGACGGTAAGATGGAAAAGCTCATGGCTTGAGATAAAGACAAGGGTGAGCGCTGACCAATTACTGTCACAGGCAAAAGAGACTCAACACAGGCCTAAACTAAATGTAGTTTATTGCCAATTAAAAACAGAGTAGGATGATGAGAAACAAAGACAAAACTAAGACCCCTTCCCCCTACCCCCCTGCCTTCTTCCCAGGCTCAGCTCCAGCCCTTCACTCCCGTCTCCCTGACTCCTCGCCCCTGAGCAACACAGGGGATGGGGAATGGGGGGCTGCAGCCAGTCCATACCAGCTCCTTTCTGCCGCTCCTTCCTCCTCACGCTTTTCCCAGCTCTGGCGTGAGGTCTCCATGGACTGCAGGGAAACACCTGCCTTTCCACAGCCCTTCACAGAACTGTCTTCTGCAGTCAAGTTTGAACTTTAGATACTGTATCAGCCAATACTTATTCGCCATGCAAACTCTTGATAAGCTGCATAGTGCAGTTATGAGGGTAAAGCAGAAAAAGATGCCTAATGAGACTCAGTTCCTTTCCAGAAGATGGCTTCTCATACCCAGCACGGGTCGTGTGCGTCGGTGATGTGGCTGCCGGCAGCTGCACGCACCGCTCTTCCATTGACGCACGCTGCTCGGTCTGGTGTCAGCACGATCTGTGCAAAGCTGGGGACGTCATTCCCGCACTGGGATTCAGGGTCTAAACCAACACATAAGCCTGGACTTTCTGAACCCTGCTTTCCTCCCTATGTGTTTCTTTAATGGCTCTTAAAATGAACGATCTCCTGCTTAGTCTTTCTCTAAGGACTGAGGTGCAGCACTTGGATGAGGCAGCTGTACTGAACTGACTCATGCTCAGATTATGCTTAATTTTCAGGTATTAAACTGACACTCTTAAACATGGCAGAATTGCTGTGCTGTGCCCCACTGGCTTTCAGATTGATGCTGTAACGCACATTTTCTCAGCATTTGGTTGTTTAAGGCTTCTTTTCTCCATTCCCCTTATTCTTCTTCATCAAAAATCTTTTTACTTGCATCCTTTTTCTTACTCAGAGTTTTTCTTACTCCTCTTATTTACTCACTGGAGATTCACACAGATCTTCTAAAACAGTCTCCTTGCCACAGTATCCAATAAGGTATTTTACACTTCTCTGCTTGTAAAGTGCTTTTATTGTCAGTTTCTTTTTAACCAGTATGACTAACGTGACATCACTACATAACATGGAGATGGCAGAGACTCTGGCTGAGGAAATTTCCAGCTGCAAATGTACCCAGCAGAACTGTGCTGCTACAGAATTTATATCAGGGTGGGTTTTTTTTATTGAACAGTGTGTGTGTGTGTGTGCGCGCGTGTGTGTACTACCTGAGGATAGCTTATTAGCACAGAAAGGAGTACAGGGCTTTGGTCTCCAACCCCAAGTTCAGGTTACCTGTTGCTTCTGTGTTCAGGTAGGCAAGCTCCATTTGTGGATGGAAAGGGTTGCTGATCGAGCTCCTATGCTATGAATGCACATAAAACAATGTATTTAAACCATTCTGAGCTGGACACTCTGCTAGTGTAAAGCCACACAGCTGCTTTTTGATCATTAATCATCTGCTACAAGTGTCCTAAAATCAAGAAAAGGATCATTCTTCTGGGTTCTCCTTGGTTTTCTGGAGGGCTAAGTGATATATTTTCATATTACTTGTCACTGAAACCCAAAATTCTCTGTTCTAGAGTCAGTCTGTGGTCTTTATTAGTGGACTGGTGAAGGGAGACTGTGGACTGTAATGGTGTAAATCTAAATGGCAGAATGCAGAAGCCTCAAGGTGATTATAAAACATCGTAATGTAAAAACCTGACCTTGCTGGGTTACACGGAGTGCAAATATAGAAAAGTTACAGAAAAGTTGTACATTAAATATAGGAATGTTATCCTGGATTCAAGTACCATTGTATTTATCTGGTTGATGTCATGTTGCAAGAACTGATTCAAACATATACACGCATTAGAGTGGAAAACGGTGGGGTTTCTGCAAATTCAGAGAGAACTGATTCTTCCCAATGTGCTAATGCAGATTGCATTGCTAATATTTTGCTTCAACATCCACACAATACACATGCTAACAGTATTTTTCCTCTTGTACACCAGCTGTGTTTTAGATAACATATAATAGTAACCACTTTCACTCAGAAAACATAGAAAATTGTGTTGAAGAATGGCTTAGAAACACCTCCAGCCTCACTACTACCACAGATGAAAATCCTAATGAAAAACTACTCACTGTCTTTACAATATTTCCAAGCCCAATAAAAACATGCAATGTTACAATATATACAAAATAAAGTCTCTGACCTCAGTGGTGTGAATGCAGAGAGACGCTACTTCATAAGTACATAAGAAAAGACTGGGCATTTGACCTTTCCTTTGGCAGAGATTTAAGATCTTGCTTCTAAATTGAAAAGCATTGTCAAAAAATTTAAGCAATTAACAGTTTTCTGAACAAATGGATTCTTATTTGAGAGGCAAAATAAGAAGCTTTTTTAAAATTAGCAGTCTTCATTCCAATTTATATAATATATGAATTTATTAAATATATTTTTCTTTCTAGCTCTGCATAGTAAAAATAGTATGCATGTGGGGAAGGGTAAAAGAGCAAGACAGTAAACATGCTGCTTTTTTATACTTCTTAGGAAAAGTGAACTGCAGAGTGTGGTAACATCTCAGTGATGTTACTACTGTACCACGTGTGAGAATCAGGCAAGCAATTCTTTGAAAATATTTCACAGAAGAAGAGAAAGAGAACATCCTTTTCGAGGTTGGGAAGGGTCTTCTGAAGGAGCCAGTAATTTCTCAGGATTTTAAGTGAGGGACAAATTCTCCACTGGCTGAAAACGTGGTTAAAAGCAGCAAGTTTCACAAGTTTTGAAGTTGCTTAAAGGTAGGTGCCTTTTGACTTCAGTATGAAAACAAGTACTTTTGCTTTAAAATGGTAAAATTCTGTCAGAGTTTAGGATTAAGCTGAGGGTAAATTCCCTGTTGATGATCGTGGAGTCATTTCCAGTTTGGAGCTCCCGAGTACAAGAAAGATACTGCCACACTGATGCAAGTCTAGTGGAGGGCCACCACCTCATTATGGAGCTGGAGCTCATGATGTACAAGGAGAGGCTAAGAACTGGATTTATTTGTCCCTGAAAAGGTTAAGGAAATATCTTACTGGTGTTTGAACCATGTAACGGAGGGGTATGTAGCCAGACTCTCCTTAGAAGTGCAGAATGGAAACACAGGGGCAACGGGCATAAGTTGCAAACAGAAAATTCAGACTAAAGGAAAGCATTTTTACTTTGAAGGTTGATGAGAACTGAAACAAGTTGCCAAGAGAGGTTGTGGTTTCTCCGTCTTGGAGATACTCATATTTTGACTGGATGAGGTCCTGAGTAAACAGATTTAAGGTAGGCATGATTTGAGCAGGAGGGTTAGACCAAAAGACATCTAGAGGTCCCTTCCAACATGAAGAACTATTGGCAGAACTATGCAAAATGACAGGTATATCACCGAGCACCAGTGGGTATCTTCTCCACCCTATGGTGCAAGAAAAGTAATGCCGAAACTGCTAAGGCTGAACCTCCCTTTATAGCAACCCAGTTACTTATTGAGATACAAAAGAGTATATGCACTGCTAGGGCAATGTCATGTTCCCTGTGTTCTTACATCCCTTCAATGCAAGAACACTACAATGACATCATACTGCTTTTGATGCAGATCTTAGCAGTTCCTCTCCCCATCCAGTGTCCTTCGAGCAGCCTTTCAGACCTATATGAAAAGGCATTTGTCTAACTCCTCCATGCCCACTCCACAATGTGGGCACTTTTCAGAGTCTACACTGGTGCGTGAGTCTACTTTGCCATTGGCTTGAGATGCTCTGAAACCTTGCGATAGTGAGAGAAAAGCATCATATACACTCTTAATCACTTACCTTTACAGCAAAGTGCAAGATAATTTGTGTAAATTTATGTGAATAGATTTATTACTAATTATTTAATTAAATGTAATTGTTTAAAATTTATTAATTTTAAATGTACCAGTGCATTGGATCACTGGATTCAGTTATCTAAAGAGCTCATTCTAAATTCCAAATTGTTCTTTAGCCTTCTCCCTCTTCTCTGCCTCTTTCCATACATTATATTCATCACTGCTGTCTGAATAGCTTGCTCTATCTTTATTCCCCCCCCCCCCCCCCCCCCCG